CTCACGTTGATTTTCCTGCCTCAGCCTCCTGAGTGCTGGGGCTACAGGCATGTGCCTCCACGGATCCAGTGAAAAGTGACATTTTATTTAATTTTTCTTTTTTTTAAATTTATTTATTTTACATACCAACAACAGTTTCCCCTACCTCTCCTCCTCCGTTTCCTTCTCCACCTCCTTTCCACCCCCTCATCCACTCCTCAGAAAGGGGCGGGCCTCCCATGGGAGTCAACAAAGCATGGCATATCAAGTTGAGGCAGGACCAAGCTCCTCCCCCCTGCATCAAGGCTGGGTGAGGCATCCCACTGCAGGGAATAGGTCCCAAGAAGCCATCTCATGTGCCGGGGACAGGTCCTGCTCCCACTGCTAGGGGCCCCACAAACAGACCAAGCTACATAACTGTAAAGTGACATTTTAAATTAATGCATACAATTCTATTATTTGAATGTGCTGTATTTTATTTCATGATCTCCATGAGACTGGATAGCTAAGAAGCTTCTAGTGTTTTTTTTTTTTTTCTAAAATAATTGTCATCCCAGTAACCTCTTAGTCAGAAAGCTTTGAGCTCTCAGCAAATTGTTCTCTTGCGGTAACTGCCCTTAAGAGGTATGAGAAGAATGTGGAGATGAGCACAGCTCATTGGAGGGCACGGCCAGCACCCCTCTGCCTTATTCTTTGACGCTTGTCTCTGAAGTGACTTTATTGCTTAATATGATCCTAAAATTCGCAGAGCATCAAAGAAGCCTAGCATAAAATATTCCATATTCTTAATGCTATTAATACACATACCTCTTGGAGTTGATGTAGTTGAGATATATGGCATTCTAAAAAAAGGAAAGAACAGGAGAAGGCTCTAATGTTGTTCACCCAAAACGTCTAATAAGCCAGGTCATTAGAGACATTAGAGTCGCCTTGTTGATAAAAACATGCAGTTGGCTTAAATTGGCCAGACCATGAGAGGCGGTCTCTCAGAGCTCAGCAGAGGACAGACTCAGTTGTGTTACTTGCTCAGAAACATTTTTAGGCTCATGTTTAGCACATAAGGCTGACGATGTGGTATGATAAGACTGCACGGAGCTCAAGTGTACTGTAAGCAGTGCTTAGAAGGAGTAGAGAAAATATTTACCCACACTCTGCTAATGAGCTGTTCTTTCTGTCATCTGATTAGGTGGATTTATTTTCGCTAAGGTTAAATGTGCTTAATATATTTAATAGAGATCTTGAAATAAAGTGTTGTAACTAATTAGGAAAAAAAAAGCCCCCCAAAATTCCTAGTGGACTTTCTGGAACAATCACCTCATGGATATTGTTTTGATTCCTCTTAGAAAAACTAGGAAAGTGATTGGAAGACGATGCCCCGAAACCTGACCCTGTGCCAAAAGCAGTACTATCTACATCAAGTTGCTTTCACAGACTGTCGGTGTGAGCAGATGAGTAATGCCTGCCTTTGGAAAGTTCTCCTTATCCACTGGGACCTCGTTTTGTGCAATGCACCGGGCTGTGCTTGCTAGAGGGCTTGCAGCTTACTGAATGACAGTGTTTCTAAGTCCCTTACAGGGTGTAGAAAGCTGATAGATTCAGTTGCCTTAAACACCCCACGGGAAGGGCTCACCTTGGCAGCCAACCCACTCTGTCTTCTTGAGGCCAGCACAGCCGGTTTGGCCTCCAGAGTTAAAGCACATTGCGATTTATTTGAGCACCAGTAAATAACTAGTTTGCATTTAGGGGTCTACTTGTATGAAGAATAGATGCATCTGGTCATTAGGAATCCACTTAGCTCTACATGCCATGTTCCTACTGTACTGAGATTGAGACCGACAGACCTGTGGAGTTGAGTATCCTTTTGTCTTTTACCTCGAGACACGTGGTCATTGAGTGATGGTTGGAGGTGTGTGTGTTCATCTTAATTTCTTATAGATGCTCCTGAATTCTTTGGAGCAAATCATGTATGATACAAAACACTGCCATCACTGGAATTTAGAATATTTACCTGTGTGGATGTTTTTCTGTGAGACCCTACAATGATCTTAGTGATTGATCATGTGTTTCAAAACTAGTGTGGAAGAGGTAGAGTGATGGAACGTGTTATTTTGAATGAACACAAGTGAGTTGGAATGAATCATGAGTAGAGAGTTACTGAGGACCTACTCTGTGTTGGAGTTAGGGGTGCAGTGGTAAATACTGTTGGGGGGACTTACAGTTTTGGTAGGTTCTTGAGACTATGCCTTTGTCTAAGCAGCAGTGGACTGAACAGGCAATCATTAAATCTATAGGAAGTGAGTTGTGGTGCAATTCCCCCTTATTCGGGCTTCTTAGATTGGGACTGTGTGATAAAAAACGGTTTCTTTGAGGCTTGCCCTCTGAAAATCGGTGTGGGGACAGCAGAGGCAGGTCTGACGGCAGCATGCTCTCAGTGGATCACTGCATGGTTTTGAACTCTTGGCTGTGGTCCTGCTAATCTCTAATCACTGCTGTCTTCTGGATCTAATGGACACCCCATTTTCTAACCCCCCTTTTCCAGGAGCTGCATTTCTGACAGACCCCTTTCCTACTCCTAAAGGGGTGGTAATAGAGGTATGCAAAGGGAGAGGGGAGAGAGAGGGGGAGAGAGGAGGAGAGCCCAGGAGGGAGGGAGAGAGAGAGAGGGAGGGGGAGAGAGGGAGAGAGGCCCAGGAAAACAAATCTCCATGTTGGAGAGTTTACTTGGATTACCAATTTTTCATCACTGGGGTACTGGTCACAGACCTGGAGAGAAGAGTAAAGTCACTGGGTCCCTTGTGTGTTCTCTGGCTCTTGTGGTTTGGGGCCTGTCGTCATTATAAACCATAGCTCAGGTGAAGGGAGTATGAGAAGAGGGCAAGGGAGAGACGGCCCAGTGTCTAGAAGAACCACAAAATGCCTGACCCTCGAGTCAGGAGCACCAAGAGAACAGCTGACCCTTGCTGCAGCTGGACCAGCTCCCCAATAAAGACATGGAGACTTATTATTAATTATGAATGCCTGGCATTAGCCGAGGCTTGTCCCTTTTAACTTAGCTCTTTTGACTTAATTTAACCTGTTTCTATTCATCTATGTTTTGCCTCGGGCCTTTTTACCTGTCTTTCATTGTGTATGTCTTACTTTCCTGCTTCCTCCGTGTCTGTCTGTCTGGCCCCTGGTGTCTCCCTGGTGTCTTCTGGCATCTCTTTTTCTTTTTCCCTCTTGAATCTAAATTCCTACTTACTCTCCCCGCCCGGAAGTTCCACCTATACCTCCTCCCTTGCTATGGGCCGTTCAGCTTTTTATCAGACCAATCAGGTGCCTTAAGCAGGCAAGGTAAAACAGCAACACATCTTGACATAATTGCACAAATGCAACACATCTTTGCATTAGTTACACAAATATTCTGCCACACCTAGCCTCACGGGAGGGATGAGATGCAAGGAATATGCTCAGAGAGAGGGCCTGGGGTTCACACAGCCCTTTGTCTCTTAGCACACAGGGCACCTTAGAGGTCCCAAGTGGTGGAAGGAGGTCTGTGTATCCCCCAGATGGGCAGGGTGGGATCAGCTCACAGGCGCATGCTCTCAGCAACACTGCCCTCAGCGGACGCCTCCCTGGATATTTACTGCTCCCTCGGTGGCGGCAGGAGCATGTTTGCACTGCTGTCTCTCACTCCATGCTCAGCTTCAGTTTCTGACCTGTCTGAGGCAGACCAACTACATATTTGTCGTGCTTCTCTCCAGCTCGCTAGGCACTGTCATGGCTCTGTTCATCTGCTCTCCCCCTTGAGAGCAGCCGGGGAATCCAGGAGGTATTTTCAAGCCAGCTCCGGTGAATGATTTAGCTGAAGTATGATGCCTACTAAAACGTGTTTGCTTTGGTTGCCTGTGAGTTTCAGATTTATCCTGTTCTTTGGGTATATTTGTATAAGTAATTAGGAGTTTTTGTCGAGCTGGGTGTGGTGGTGCAGGCCTTTAATCCTAGCACCCGGGAGGCAGAGGCAGGTGGATCTCTGTGAATTCGAGGCCAGTCTGGTCTACAGAGCAAGTTCCAGGACAGCCAGGGCTACACAGAGAAACTCTGTCTTAAAAAAAAAAAAAAAGAGTTTTTGTATAGTCAGAGTTAGGGTCTTAAGGTCCATAAAAATTTGATCCATTTGAAAAACTGCCCAGAACATCTTGCTTTTTCATGTCTGAAAAGCCATGAACATGTGAATCCCAGGCAAGAAAATGAATTGCATTCACGACTCCCTTGAGCAGCCCAGAGGGTTGCCTCTAAGAATATTGTCTGTTAAGTCTACTTTGCCTTTATTCTAAATGTCTATTTTTCACATAGCCAAATGGATGACTCATACTGTGCTCTGAGAGAGTCAGGCAAGCAGCTCAGACAAAACAGGTCACTTACATGGGGTTCAGGGTTATTATTCTCCACGGTTACCATTATCACCGTTGAAAGCACTGGATGAGAACTATTATCGGAAGGTCAGGTGCCTGGTGTGAGGCCTGGCTTAGCTTTGCCCGCTCATCTCCCCCCTGGGAACTGATCCCCATATTTGGACATTATAACTTAACTTATCCCCACTCATGGGTGGGAGAAGGAGGAGGTGGTGGTGGTGGAGGATGGATAGCTTAGTCTTCCCAGAACCAGGGAGAAGCCAGTCAGCCATTGCTTAGGTCTCCACTCGTGCTGGGAGGATGTGGCTGGCTGTCCCCTGATACCAAGCATTCACCTGGAGGGCACCTGTGCACAGGCTGAGGTCCCACTGTGGCTTTGAGGGTTTTGTTTTCTTCCGTGAAGTTAGTTAGAAGATACCTAAAATATTGAACAAATCTTGTATGTATGTCTTTGAGCATTTGGAGCAGAGATACCTTGAGTTAAGCAATGACTGTATCCAGGAAAGGTGACTCACCAATGTGGGTGTGTTCTCTGGGATTTTGGACCAATGGCAGTGATTTGAGCCGGTGTGGTAAGAGCAGTGCTCCAGGAGAGAAATGGACATGACGAAGGCAGTTTCACCTACTGCATTTTTCCTCTGGCTGGCCGCTTTGATTCTGGAATGATGAAAGGTCAGAGGAGTCATCCGAGAGGTCACAAAAATAGCAGTCGCTTCTAAGGGAGCGGCAGCTCCACCTGCCGCGGCAGCCTGGCAGCCTCAGCTGCTTCACAGCGGGCCGGCGGCTCGGACGCTGGGGTGGAGTGAAGGAATGAGAATGCTTGGCTGCCCTTGGACAACAGGGACTGTGAGGGCATCCCGGACCCACCCGTCAATCGTGATGGACACTGGGTGGAATCCTCAGAGATGGGGGCAGCTTTCGGACACCTCTGCCTGCCTCAGAACCCCGGCTTTCTGGTTGCTTGTTCTAGATCAGTTTCTGGGTAAACTTGTCCTCTTAACTCCTAGTTATTGTCCCTGGTACAACCAGAAAAATTTCCATTTGATTCAGTGCAAGGCCACATTTCAGAAGCTTTCGGTAATTTTTGAATTTATTGGTTTAATTTCCACGCCACTTAAAAGCAGTTATTTCTGCCTGAGGAATGATGAGTTTAGGATGCAGGCAGGTTCTTCTTACTTTCTGTGAGTGAAACAGGACAAGAGCATATAACCCTCTTAGATGATGGATGTTAGGAACCCAATTCTGAAGAGTACCGACTACCTGATTATGTGGTCCTGATGCTTGAGGATCCTCGGAGAACTGTTGGTGGAGAAGCCAGATCCTCACTTCATTATTCATCGCACAATCAACCAGTGAACTTCTTGTGTATCATTTAATACTTTTGAAATGACTTTTCCGGACATCTGTTATTTAGAAGCAGACCAATAGAACGGGCTCCATGGTGCTTGCTTTTGGCTGTCCTGTATGTCTAGCCTGAGCAGAGGACCTGCTGATAAAAAGGACTGTAAGACGACAGCATTCCTCAGCGGATGAACAAATGAATGAATGTACGTCATCGCTGCCGTCGAGCATCTGCCCTGTTACTGCCTATGAGTGGAGTGTCACCACCGAGCTGACTTACCGCCACAGCAGTCCCCGTGTGGGTTTTCCTGCCTCTAGTACGGCTTGGCTAGCTGGTATGTTCTACCATAATCTGGATATGTCGTTCTCTTGGGATGAGCCTTACATGCACGCTTCCCGTTTGTTTGAGAAAAGTGACGAAGACTCGGCATAGCACGCGAGGTGCCCCAGCTCTGCCCTGTCTTCCTGGCTGTCTCTCCCCTTATCACTTCTCTCGTGAAACCCTGCGCCCTGGCACTCGGGTCTGCTTGTGGTTCCCTAATGTGTTAAGATCCCTCTGACCACTGTTTCCTCCCCAGCCTGGAGCCCTTCATCTCTTGTCCGCTGGGGCCTCAGTTCAACACAGGCATACCCAGAAGCCCTTCCGCTGTGACACAGCTGGGTGGGAGCCCCTCTTCTTGGAGCTCCCCCTCCCCCCAAGTGAGATGCCATTGCTTCTACGCTTCCTCCTCAGATACAGAGGCTGGGGACCGTCCTGGTAATCCACCCGGCACACTGGCACATTAAGGCGCTGGTGACATGTTGTTTGAATGGGTAGGAAGAAGAACATAGTTCTGGTGAACCTGTATGAGCTACGAGGTCCAAAAGACCTTTGTAAAAGATCATGGTGGCAGAGATCCTGGGCCATCCTTAAACTCCCCATCTTAGATATCCCTCCAGGAACCAGGGTCAGACTTTACCTCTGGTCTGGCTGATCTCGTTATCAGGTGTGTTTAATCTGTGCGGTGCACATGGCTGCGTGCAGCCAAGTATAGCTGTTACTGTGGTCTAACAAAGTCAAAGCTTAGTTAAAACATATGCTTTTGAGATTGTTTAAAAAAAACATGATCATGTGGTTCTCAAGCATAAACTTTGTAGATGACGTCACTGTGTCCCAGCATACCAAGGCTGGAGACGTCCGTGAGCTGTGAAGACCACAGTGAGATAATGTAAGAAACCCTTAGCTCAGCACCCGTCGCGAACTCCAGGAATTCATTCTTCCCTTCCTCGGTTCTTTCTGCCTCCTTTACCTGCCACAGCAGGGCAGTGAAACCGTCGGGCAGGATCTTGGAGATTTCCTCTGTCAGAGCCTGAGTGCTAGCAGGCCGCTGAGGTACTGTCGAGCCGTGTTGGTTCTGGGAGGGAGACCAGACATCTAGTTTTTAAATTTTCCAAATTTCTGATTCGTAAACACAGTCGAGAGCACTTGGTGTCATCCAACTTTTGGCTCAGATCGGGAATCCTGGTTGTTAGACTTCGCTGGACCGCCTCAAGGGCGGCAGCCATTACATCCTCTGTCCTCTGTTGGATACCTGCTCTCTAGTTAGAAAACACACCCCATAGACTGTGTCTGGGTGTGCCCTCCTCCTGGAGGGAAGCAGCCCCCTTCCCCAACCTCCTACTTACCCATTTTTTTCCTTTCTGATATTCGAAGTGACTACCATAGCCTTTCAAAGTCGCTCCCCCCCACCACCCTCCCCCCCATCCCAGGGTAAATACTCTTGTTCTGTAAACCAGAACTTAACAACTGGCGCCTGTGGGCTACATCTGCTCTAAAGATGTATTTTGTTTGGCCCGTGGCATTTGAAACATATTGAATAAATTGCCAACTTTGTAAAAATCGGGGCCTTTTACTGAAGATTCTGAAGCACCAGGGCCCCAGCCCCAGCTTTGGTCAGGGTGGGCTTCCCCCGGCTACTGTGGCCTCAGCCTCTAGTGCTGGCAGGGTGTGCTGCTGGAGTCCTCTTGCCTTGTGGTTTTAGGTTCCTTGTTATTTATTCTCTTTATCTTTCCAGGCTAAGCTCCAGAGTGTCAAGAGGTACCTCTTCTAAAAATGTTTCAGTTTATATTCTGAAGTATTTGATAATGATTTTACAATAAAAGTCGTATTATTATGGGCTCGGGAGATGGCTCACTGGGTTGGTCAAAAGCAATACAACAGGAGGTTGATCCACATCTGCACGAAGCCAGCTGGGTAGAGTCCAGCTCTAACCTCAGCCCAGGGATACTTAAGGGATCAACTTAAACATTCTGCACAATGCATGGAAACTTCTGTGTTTTTTATAGTATGGCAAAGCACACCTTGCATGCCGCTTGAGCAATTTCAAAGGTACTGCACAGTGTCGGTCAGCACATTCGGCTGTTATCATTATCTGCTTCCCAAGCATTTCGTCACTACAGAAGGGAACCCTGTGTTCATTCAACAGCCACTTCCCCGTCCCTCTTATTTCCAGCCCCGAGTAACCATGAGTCTGCTTTTTCTTGCTGTGGATTTGCCTAGTTTCAGTACTTCACATAGATGGAATCAGGCAACAGTGTAGCCCTTTGTGTCTGGTTTCTTTTACTTAGAATAAAATAGTCCAAGTTCATTCATGTTGCCACCTCCAACATCATGCACTGTATTCTCTTATGGATGAGTCCATCGTGTGACTGTGCTGTATTTTGTTTATTTATTCGTTGGTTGATATTAATTAATGGACTCCTGTTGTTTCTACTGCTTAGCTACAGTGCCTAGTGTTGCTGTGAACATATATGTACGCGTTTCTGTTCAAACACTCGTTTTCAATTCTTTGGGTTATGTAGGAGGGAAATTTCCAGGTCCCATGATAATTCTGTGTTTTACGTGCTGAGGGACTACCCGCCTATCTTCCACAGCAGCTACATTGTTCTTAGCCCCAGTCAACATTGCCCATCTCCTCACATTCTCCCCTCCCCCCGCCCGGTGCTTGCTGTTTGTCCATCTGCTGTTTCCTTGTTTTATTTTAGCCATTAATATTTAGTGGTATCTCACCAGGGCTTGGATTTGCCTTCTCTAACACCCAGTGACTGATGGGCCTTTTCATGTGCTGTTTGGGGTTTGTGTGTTCTGGTTATTTAGTAACTTTCTCAGCTCTCACATTTGTGCTATCACCGATAGTGTTATCATGAACAATCTGAAACAAAAATAGTCTGACCATCTCTTTGAAGTGGAACTTGGGGTTGTAGGTGCAACTTTTCCCAGGTGTTTACGAGAGGATCAGCCTGCACATCACGTGGATACAGATTCGTCACTGGGAGTTCTTAAAGTGCCGATGCAGGAGTTCACTTCATGGGACTCACTGGGGTGGACCCTGTTTCCTAGGGGATTTTGGTAGGCAATCTCACCTAGTTGTTGGCTAGGAATTTTCTGTATTTATGTCTCGAAAAAAGAGACATTTTAGGACCTTGCACAACTGGCCCACTACTTTGTTGTGACCAGTTCTGAGCATAAGGGTTCTGCTGCTTTCCGGGTTGTGGGTGACAGGCCAGTGACCCTGATGCCCTGCCGATGTGAGCTTCTCTCACCAAGCTTCTTTCTCCTCATGGGTTCTTTCCTCATAAAATCAGACCTTCCCTCATTCTCACTGTTAGGGAGTTAGCCATTTTGAACCCACATTTTCTAGTGAGGAATCAAGCCATGTGACTTGTCCTCAGCAACCTAATGCCCTAGTGAATGAAGTCAGACAAAAGCCAGGTCTCTAGGTTCTCAGATAATTTTTTTTCATTTCCCTCCTGGCCTTGCATCCACAATCTTGATTTGTCATGATTCAAGAAGCAGACCGTTGTCACGCAGTGCCAAATGTACTCGGAGCTAGCTCCAAGTGGGAACAGGCCCCCACATGTCTGGGCAGGCCATTTCCATCACATACTTGCTTTTATTGCCTTTGGCCAAGCCTAGTTCTGTCCCTGGTACTAGGAAGGCAGCCAAATCCCCCTGAGTCAGAACAAGGGGACCGTGATCTCAAAATAACCATAATTATATTGCACATTTTAAGGTGCTAGAATATTGTACACTGACTGGATAATAATTTATGAATTTTGATGTTAAGTAAGTTTAGTATAGCTTCCCAAATCTAGTCTCAATGTGTAAGGACACTAGCAGAGTCTTCTTCCCACCTCTGTTAGGGGTAATAGGACGTTGGTGAAGAGAGAGTGTGGAGTCACCAGGAAAGGAGTGACCTCAGTTACGGCCCATGGGACCATGGGAGGCCTAAGGACCATATCACCCTGATACGAGGTCTTGGATCTCCATCTTTGTGATTGACCCTGCTGCAGAGGTCAAGGGCAGTCGTGGTTTTTGTTTTTGTTTTTTTTTTTTAAATTCTATCACTAAATAGAAGCAACATCAATTGGACTCAACTTAAACTCAACTCATTGTCCTTGTTTTCTGCAGTTGGACTTTCAAACTTGGTGTTCAGCTTAGCATCCTGGAAGTGAATTTGTTTTAAATGTTTAAAATATGCTCAAAACCAACTTTGGAATGGTCAGGTTAAAAAAAAAAAAGAGAGACTCCTAGAAGTCTCTGTGGATCTCTGTCTTTGAGAGATCACGCACAGTACTTCACACACGTTTGTTCTGTTTGTGGAACTCCTCACAGAGACATCCCTGTTAGTGTCGGCATAATGTGCTCTCAGCATATACACTGAGCTCTCAAAGTATACTTGCCAAAAATATGATCGAGTTTAAAGCACATTATTGAATACGAAGCTAAATGAATTCGGACATGTTATAAACATAATTGCAGCATCGAGGGGAGGCTCAACACTGGGGTGACCGCCCACACCAACATTTTCATAGAGTTTTTGCTATCAGAAGGACTTAGCTGTGTGTGCTGACACATGCCTGTAATCCCAGCACTGGGGAGGTGGAGGCAGAAGGATCAGAAGTTCAAGGCCAGCTTCAGCTACCTAACAAGTTTGAGGCCAACCTGGGCTGTCTACATGAGACTCTGTCTCAAAAACAAACCAGAAAGAAAAAGGAAAGCAAAGGATCTAGTGTTTTGGTTAAATTGTATCCATCCAAGCTTCAGCATTGCTTTCCCCATGATATTCCTGTTATTTTTTCAATGGACAGGGACAGCGTGAATGATTGCTCACAGTAGTATGTGTGAGTGTGCACATGTGTTCACACTGCATGCTGTTCAGCAGTGACTAGAGTGAGCCACAGGAAAGATGGGGATGAAAGACCTGGAGGGTATTCCCAAGCGTGTGCTGCCGAAATCACGTGTTACATCATTGTCAGTGTGATGCTGTGGGCAGCTAAACCTGGCTTCCTTTCT